TTTATCCTTCGTACCCGGTTGGCAATCAAATGCCCTCTATTTCTCTAACTTATAAGTTACCTACTTACAATTAGTTATCCAAATCATGTGTCTTTTGTTCTCCCCCAGCTGAAAAGCTTCGCTCTTCCTGCATCCCAGGAAGTAAGAGAAAAGCTAATACCACGAACAAATCAGCCCAGGGCAACGATCCTAATCCTTTTGAAGTGAGCCACCCATTTGTCTTCCACCGGCCATCCTGCAGCGCTCAATCTAATTCGGAAAAAAACCTCTGGCCCAATTGCTGCCTCGTCTTCCTGGTATTCAGCCTTTATGGCTACTAGCTCGAAAACGAGGATTTGTAGGCTTAGATGAATCCGATCCCGGGGGTTCTTTATAGGTGAACTACCCCTCAGACCATCAGGCCACAATTGTTTCGAAAACTCGAGGCGCATCTGAACACCCAGATCAAAGAATTTCCACGAGAGATTTCTCCTACAAATCCTTCCAGGAGCTTAAATCTCTACCATATTGGGTTAGTTATCCAGGTAGATAAGTGAGCCGAACAAGAAAAAGTCTGTTCGCTTTACTATTTACTATTATACAATTTTCTACTCCAAAGAACCTACTTCCCAAATGTGTTCCTTTATCATTTTTCTTCCTCTCAAAGAGCTCCCACTGACTGTGTGTATGTTTTTGCTAGTTTTGGGGAGATTTTGTTTAAGTATTTAGTAATACCTATCTAGGCTGAACACTAAATCTTCAACCACAATCCCCATAATCCCAAAGAATCTCCCATAACTACCAACGCCTCCCTGAAGGAGTCAGGCAGTGGTGTACTGGTTGTTTATGCTTTCAGTTGGGCACGAGGCTTCGTTGTAGATTTACCTATGCCGCCTTTCATGTCTTTCCTTTCATCCCTCAACAAAGGAGATTTTCGACGTTGCCTTCCAAGTTATGTACGTCTCTATTTCTGTCTACTGAATATAAATAAATGATAAGATTTGGACCTGGGAAGTAGGGTGTTGACACCGAATGATTTCTTTAGCTCATATATTTGTTGTTACTATAAGAATGGAGAGTTAGTTACTTCCCTGAGCTGTAAACAATGTTTTTTGAGACCGATTTTCGTTCCTCTTCTGTGCTCCCGAGAGGGTTGGATCAAACACCAACTGATTCTGGGCAATTATTCTACGCGCTGAATAATTGACTGGGATGGGCCTTCCTATGAGATAAAGCTACCTACAATTCCCCTTCCTAAATCATTCCGTGATGTTTATTGCTTTGACAAGCTTTTTCAAAAAAAAAACCACTGTTTGGGACGGATCTCGTGTTGACGGACCCTGAACGGTGTGCTGTTTGACATAAATGCATCTCTCATTCTAGAGCCTATCCCAGTCCGAGATCTGCCTCACACGGTCTTTTCTATCTCTTTAGTGGGATTTCTGTGCCTTTCTTCATAGAGGGCTCTTTATCTCTAATTTTTTGATTAGTTACCGCTTAAAATTCAACACCTCTTTTCTCATTCCCAACATGCCCTAGACCGATCTGCCTCAATTACAAGCTTCACCAAATTCTTTTGGGAAGAATTAGGTCATGGAGGAAGTAAAGGTGTCTCGCGAATGCATGCAATGAATTCTCCGGCTCGCCGAGGAGATTCTTGTTTTCCAGCTCCGACGTCAGATCGAGAAATGCATCGTCAATACACCAACAACTCCGGCTCAACCGAGGCGGAAGAGTTCACACAAGAAGAACTCCAAGAATTCGCTCAAGCGTTCAAAGTGAGTTGCCCTACTCTCGAGGGTTTGCCTAGACAGAGCCCCTAGTTTTACAAAAAAACAGATTTCGAAGGGTGTACGGTAGCAATCCGAATCGTGTCAATTTATAGATGTTTGACAAAGACGGCAACGGTACGATGAATATCAAGGAGTTAGGTGTGGCAATGCGAACGTTGGGCATGAATCCGACGGAGGAGGAATTGCAGGTAAACAAAGATAAAGTGTATTGGCTCAACCTACCCCCGATTAATTGCGTCTTACGGTGTGGGTCTGTGATCCCACATAAAAATGCAAGTGGGGAATAATTTCAAGTACCTTTTNACACCAACAACTCCGGCTCAACCGAGGCGGAAGAGTTCACACAAGAAGAACTCCAAGAATTCGCTCAAGCGTTCAAGGTAAGTTGTCCTACTCTCAAGGGTTCGCCTAGACATAGCCCCTAGTTTTACAAAAAAAAACAGATTTCGAAGGGTGTACGGTAGCAATCGAACTCGTGTCGTTTTATAGATGTTTGACAAAGATGGCAACGGTACGATGAATATCAAGGAGTTAGGTGTGGCAATGCGAACGTTGGGCATGAATCCGACGGAGGAGGAATTGCAGGTAAACAAAGATAAAGTGTGTTGGCTCAATTCACCTTCCTATATCCAAAATGTAAATATTGAGTAGATTCGGTTAGGTTTTCCACCTAAATGGGGGAAGAGGGGTTCTGAGGACTGGCTCCGTGTGGCAGCTCCTTTCAACCCTTTGAATTAAGTTGAAGGAGAATCATTTGGTAGGGTACGAATGATTCTATTTCGAACGATCCAGTTTGGAAGTATATGTGCTGTTTCCAGGTGTTTTTTCGACAAACTATATTTGAATGATACTATTTTTTCATCGTCCGCCTGCTTTATATGAAATTCTCTTTGATTATAGAATATGGTCAACGAATATGACGTCGATGGTAACGGCAAAATCGACTTTGGTGAATTCTGTAAGATGATGAAGGAAATGAATAAAGAAACGGATCAGGAATTGATACGACTTGCCTTCAAGTGCGTTTTCATTTCGAAACTCTTGTAGGATTTCTGTTTTGACCTATTTTCTCGATTCATTCATGAATAACAACGGCCTCAAATAATCCTCTTGCTAGTGGCTTCAATGAATTGCCAAGCAGCATTTACGCTTAGAAATGATTGATGTTTTGACGACGTTGTGTAAAAGTGCGTGTGATTAGTTGTCCCATTACTGAGCAAATTCTTCCCGGGAAGGACTGGCAATCAGAACGCGTACAGGTACATAGGCAGTTTTGTAGGGAGCGCTGCGGTAGGGGAAAGCTGTTGGTAGGCCCCGTGCTAGAAACAAACCTTCCGTTATTGAGTATCAGTTAGTTGCTTACTTGGGAAGTTACACACTGTAGAAGTCAGCTTGGGATAACCCATGAAAGTTGCCGTATAAGTCACATACAGAATTTTTTAACTCCACACAGGTTTTCTGTGCAGAATGAGGTGCCTGACAGTTTCCGAAGGGAATTGAGGGTTTTATTGTATTCCTATTTCGTCACAGATAGTCGAACATCAGTTAACAAAAAGAGTCAAACGACCTATAAAAGTAACTATCAAAGTAACTTGATTTTGTGATGGTAAAAAACATTCAGTACCTTCCCATCCTGGAATACCATGAACCTCTTTTTTTCTTGATTGCGAAGCGTAGTAGTTACAGTAGTCTTGTCAGTTACAGTATCTTTTCCTATGCGATCCGATTATGAAACTGTCAATTGCACTCTCAGGATTTCTAGAAACTGGAAAGGATGTGCAACTGCAAACCATCAGTATTAGGACCAAGAGGGGCATAGGAACCTGTAAGGAAAAAAGAATTGGTGGGGAGGTGTCGGCTTTTTCCTCCCCATAGATTTGCTAACTACCGTCTTCCGTAGTTACAGTATCCAACCAGTTACCGTAACCCTAACGAAAATTTGCAGACATTCCTGAGGTGTGTGTCAGGTCGTTCGTGCGAGGGCGCGCGCAAATTGCGCGGCGAAGTTCGTGGCGGATTCGGACGACTCCGGTGCCTATCATTGGGTCCCAAATCTGAAGTAGGGTAGATTAGTATGGTCAGCTGATTCTACTATTCTACTGTACTTCAAAATTTGGCCCAAATAATAGGCGCTAAAGTGGTCATAATAGGTATGAATTTCGCCGCCCAATTTGCCGCGCGCTCTCGGACGCACAACTTGACCGCTCCCACATCCCTGTAACATCGGTCTAAGGTTTTGTGACATTCCAATTGACCAGTGGAGGCTTTTATGGCTATATCAAACACGTATTTGATTTTTAGAACTATAAGTAAAGCTTAGTTGAATGTAGCAACATTGTAGGGTGTTCGACAAGGACGGTAACGGCTACATCACCGCCCAAGAGTTTAAGCATTTCATGACGACGATGGGAGAACGATTCACCGAAGAAGAAGTTGATGAGATCATCAAAGAAGTCGACAAGGACGGCGATGAGCAGGTAATTTGAAAGTTATTTAATTCTCAATCATTCTGCTCGTTCATTCCTTTTCCTTGGGCTAATGAATAGATGGGTAAGGAAATCATAACTGTGAGGTCTCAAGCAATAAGTAAGCCAATCTAGACTCAATTTCCTAGTTAAGTCCCTTTAATTTTTCAAGTGTGCCAAATACGCGGCGCGTCCGTGCTTGAACGCGCAAATCATTCAAAATAGGAGAAGATGAAAGAATAAAGCAAAAAAGAAGTGGCGAACACCCAGTTTATACCTCTCTAGGACTGGAAACAATATTGTGAATGAAAAACCGAAAGTGGTTTAGTGAGAGATAGCCCACCAGCGCGAACATCGTCTAGAGATCGATCCCGGATCGTAACTCGCTTGGGCCTACCAATCCTTCCAACTCTACGGGATTGCTTGATTGATATTAGACTCGTCCGGGAGAGTAAAAGCATCAGCTGGCGGGCCAGCGCAAGATACATATCATCCAAACGCCAGTACGATTTCGAATGGAAGTCAACTGAAGGGCGCATCCCGAGGAAGGAACGATCAATATTTTTCCATATGATCCCTTCATCTCTAGATAAACATTTGATTCAGATCGACTACGAAGAATTCGTGCAGATGATCGCTCCAATCGTTTCCGAAGGCAACAAAGATGATCCGTTTGCAGAACCTCCTCCAGCCTCCGCTACCACAACAAAGTGACCTTATGAGCGAGTCTCATTCTTGGGCTCTTCTAGAAACCCTTCACCGTGAAGGATTTGTCTGTAATGCATTTCCACTTGTAACTGATCTCAACCGGTGATTATCGGTGATATTTCGCTGTATTTGCATTTTGTCATAGGAACTCGTCCGAAAAGTAGGCGGGATCGCTTGGATGACTGACTTTAGAACGATTCGATTCAATGATGTGGTAGAAATTCTTTTATTGCCTGATAGTTTTAGAACTGATTAGGAGTGTCTCTCATAGAATTTCATTATCGAGGACGAGTTTTGCTGTTATTTGCCCTACAATGTTGCTGCTAGTCAGCCAACGTGCTGTCTTGTCACGGTTCGGGGGAAGCCTTTACAGTATCCTATAATTTTACTTACTTATATTTTGTAATCTCCGATTTTAGTTGTTCCAAACACATACAGTGTATCTTGTCGAGCATTTATACGGGCATATTCCAGCTCTCTAAAATTGCAATAATTCTATCAATAAGAGCGTATACTTATCGATACAAAGTAATACCTCCTTTAGAGTAAATATCACAAAAAAAGCTCTTACCCCTGTGTTCCAGAACAATTCTGATGTGATCTTCATAATTTTTTCTCCGAGAATATTGATTAATAACGATCGATATTTATTTGTTGTGTTGGTGTTAATTGTAAATTTACATCTCATTTTTTTCGGACGATTTGAATAGTCATTAAGTAACCGGTGAACGTCCGATTATCGCAGTGCCATTCCGTATAGCTTCGATCTCCTTTACATACATATTTGTCAGAATTAAATTTTTAAAAACATTGAAGAAATCAATAAACATTGTAAATTCGATTAAAATTGTTGTGCATGTACTTAGCGGTTAAGGTCCACAGACATTCGAATACAATTTTAAAAATATTTTTTCATATCATTTGGGTGCCCGCTTGATGGCCAAGTCACGCGTTTTCCTTCAGAGCAAGCAGCAGGTTAGGGCCAACTAGAGGTTGCGGATGCGCAGAAATTTCTGTCACTCTCAGAATGCCTCAATTTCAGGACTGTGAGGTTCCTGCACACCGTAATCCCCGTCGTTGTAGGTTCTTACTCAATTATTTCCACTATTATTATCATAGAAAAAAGCGGTGAGAGATCATATGTAGTTCCACTGCCTAATGCATCTAGCTTCACCGACTGGAGACTTTCAGGAACCCTTGGCATACGAATGCACAGCTCAGAATGACTCTGAGGTATCTTTTTTGATTAAAAAGCAGGAGTGATGGTGGAGAAGAGTGCGCGTGGGGGGGGGGGGGAAAGCGAGAAAGTCCGCAGTATTTTTTATATGTAAGGCCTCTGAAATGTTCGGAAAATAGGTGAGTTGTAGTTGTACGAAATACCCATGATGGTGATGGTATAGAAGGGCATTTAGATGGGATTCCGTCTCTTACAGTCACGTGAGAAGCCAGCTACTTCGACCCAGGAATGCCAAAAATTCTCTTTCACTATCGCCATAGGACATGACTACTTCGGTGCGGCCTTTGTGATCCTCTGGTAAAACACGTCTGAATTTGAGTGTGGACCTCGCCAAAGCCCCTATTGCGCATAATCTGTGACTTTTCCTGATCAGACAGCCTCCTATATGGCATACTTGGATACCACGAGCTCTAAATAAGCCGTATGATTGTCGGGTTAAAAGTGGCCTCGTCACAAAAAGGGCTAAGAATTTGGCTAGAAGGCCCACTGCTGCTCCATTCTTTTGAGATATAATATGTATGTTCGCTGGACTTAAGAAGGCCCATATAAGTCGGAACGGGGTACGTTTGTTGTAAATGAGTCAGCTGATATGTACGAGATGATCTGCAGCAGCTGAATTGTCGTCCAGGGTCGCTTTCGCCGTCGTAAAGTCGTCCAATCGTATTGCAAAAATAGCCTTACAATTTAGGAATTCTGTTGGTCCTCTTCTATTCTTCGGTTCCGAGAGACTGTTCTACACTAATCTTTCTCCTCCCTATCCGTGAACAGGAGGATTCCTCAGCATACACTGGACGCTACAGTAAACTGGATTAAAACTTATGAAAGCTTCCTTGACCACTTATTCACGCGGTTTATATATTAATTACTTAATAAAGCTATTTAAATATAGCCATTATCGATACTTTCGACGATTGGGATTTTTATCTTTCTCCGAAAATTATTTTTCAGAAGTTTCACTTGTTCCCAAAGCCATGAGGAGTCCAAAGAAACGTCAAGTACACTCAGGAAGTAGAACTCTCAGGTACTCTTTCCAATTTTTTCTTATTTACGTGGTGGTAGGAGTCGAAAACCGTAGTTGAAGTGCGGTGATATGAATCACTATGAAAACTGATTAGGCCCAAACAAGTTGAACAGTGGCTGTACTACGATGATTGCCCTTTCTGTCAGTTCAAATAGTACTCAGGTAATTTGATAACACTGTTAACTGCACAATCCTGTTTGTCTTTCTGCAAAAGTAGTTGTTTACTGACTGTTGGACCGCGTGTAACATGACTGGTTTGTCATTGAAAATATTAATTTTTCGGGCTGAATACACCCGGAAGTGCTTCAGCAAAAATAGTTACATTTAATATTATATTTTATTACATTTCTCAGCGAACCTTATTCATTACATTGGCTTAAAAGGGTGGAAGTGTTGGCGTGGTTCGGTTTCGGCTTCTGTGATGTTATTCGAGATCATCTAAAATCATCGGTTCCAACCAGAAAGGAGTTTATTCATCTGTGAAATTTTTAAAGACATAGAAGGGTCCGCTTAATTCGGAATGTTGTTCACTAATATGAAAACTATGCTTAAATCGAAGATCGAACACTTCAATTCGATCAACGGGAAGGATAGGACTTAATCTTTCATAGATTGTGTCCACTGCATGCCATACCTAAAGGTGGACGTGTTTCAACGATTCTGAAGAATCTGCACCATTCACAATGGAGCACACATGTTGAAAATTAAAATGAAGTGTAACCCAAGGCGAAAGTGCAAGGCAGTTTTGGTCTACTGTGGCCAGCTCTACGCAATATTACACATATTTGATGTTACGACAAAATGCCCTTCTATGCCACTTCTATCGTCATAATCTTCACCATATTTCGAGCTTTTCCTTCGATTGACCTCATTCCAGCTTTTTCGCCTTCTATCTACTATTCTGCATCTTGAAGGACAAAATCTCTTGGCGTTGGTCAATCCGGTCTAAGGGATGCGCACTGCATTCGACTTCCATTCAGAATCTTAGTGGCGTAATGAATGCGTATGTGGCCTTTACAGTACTACTATATTTGCAGTGGCCAGCCAATGTTTAAGTCAGTGCTTAATCCTCTTAGACGAGCCTGGGAATTGACATTTCCCAGAGGGATGGGAAGCATGGTTGGTCTAGGTGGATATCGATGCGAGACTCGAGCCCGTGACCAATATGTGTGAGATAGTGCGCCACCTGTCACTGACCATCTTGGCCCTATTATGCAACATAATTTACAAAATTTAATCAAAATAGTTGCTTTGCTTGTGAACCGTGTCCCGTACCGTATCGGTTTGAAAAATGCAGCTAACTTACTACTACGAGTGATCGTCGCGTGGTAGTAGCGCGGACTACTTCCGTACTCGTTTTTCAAAATGTGAGTGATGGAATGCAAAAATTTTCGCCCTATCAGGGAGCAGGACTACTTTTCTGAGGGGCGAGAGCACTACTACCACTTCACTTTGTGACGCTCCCTATTTACATACTTCGGAAGTGCCATCAATTGAACTTTGACCACCCAGTTCCTCCCTGGGAAGCCGATAGGGAATCTGGTTTTTATACTCGTGAGTGGCGCGGAAGTAGTATTGGGCCAAGTGGCGCTTTTATCCCATGCATGGTCCGGGTATCGAATCCGGGATTTGTAGCTGCCAAGTCCATTCAAACCTTCCATTCCATCATTCATTTCATTCTAGGTCGATTAATGTCATATCGGAAAAGGCAAAAACACTCTTTTGTACATCTGCTGATGAAAGTCGGGATGTAGTAGGGACATGGAAATACGGGGACGCAATCCTAAAACAGGAATAGATTAATTAACCCAAAAACGGGATTAATCAGCACCAAATACTTAGGGCAACTGTAAAGCTATTAGGCGCTTGTCGATCCCGTCTTAGGATGCGCCCAGCTTTGGAATCTATTGGGAATTATTAGAGCATCTTGAAGATGTGTGTGACCTATACAATGACTAGCGGTTACCAACCGATGTACAGGTCAGTACATCTTTCTACCCTTTCAGACTGGTCTGGTATCAGCCGACCTTGAAGATGGGAAGTTTGAGTGGCCTGGACGGGTTCCTGGTCTCGATCTCCGGGTCAGGCGTGTGGGGTAGTCCGTCATGTGAAACTACACCACCTCCGTCGTTGTTCGCATGATACCTGAAAATAAGAATAGGAGAACAGCTTCGCTTCAGATTCTTCCATCATTAAGCACAAATGTAGTAAAGATCGCATGCTATTTGGTTGATGGTCTAGAACCCGTTCGTTAACGACACAAACTTGTCGTCAGTTGTGTGCTATTCTGCCCTTCGACACTTTCTGCCCTGCCGTCCTCTCTTTTCCAACTACGGAAGCTTCTTCTTGCAGAACTTCTCATAAAAAGTCTCCATACCTTCCCTTTCAGAATAGATCCAGTCTGAGTGATTCTTTTTTCTTCATTGCTTGATAGTACGAGATCCAATTTCTGGTATCGAGCAGCCGTGGAACACTTCCGGACAGTCATCACAGCGACATAATCAACAATCCTATCCTTGACCAGGATTATCCTCTGGCGGAAAACTAACCATATTAGAATGACGTGCCGCTGGTGGCGCTTGCGAGTGGGGGTTCACGATGACCCGTAACTCTTCATCTGCCCCAAACGTTTTTCATCTTCCCATACTTCTCAGTAGTTTCGGACTTCGAAGTTATGGGAACCCTTCGTCGAGCTAGAGAAGGTGTGTGGGGTGTGCGCTACCGAAAGAACGCGAAAGCATGTACGTA